GGCGATGCTGTTTGTCCCATCGGAGCGACGCGGGGGCTCCCAAAGGACCCCCGGCACCTTGGGTTGCAGCGGGGGGATCGGTGTCAGCACCGCGCTGGGGCGGAGCGGAACCCAGCCGGCATCACTGCTCCTGGAGCGGCTCCATCAGCGCCCGCCCGTCCTCAGTTCGAACAGAACCGCGGGTTCGGCTGCCGACACGGCCCAGAAATCAGAGGGAAGCGCTCAGCCCCAGGGCAGCCGCCACAGCAGCGTCCCAACCCGTCCCTGTGGCGCCGGCAGATGTTGTGCGGCTGCCCACCGACTGCAGGACGGGGCCACAGCGGGAACCAACCAAAACACCCATGGAAACAGCCGACACAACGGGCAGCTAAAAGTATTTGGCATCCCCGGTTTGGGCCAGTAATTCTTTGGAATCCCAGGGGAGCCGCCGGCTGGGGCCACCCCTGTCCCTGCCCCACGAAGGGCATCCACTGCCTCTTTGGGTTCGGTCTGAAATGCTCCAAACGGAGTAGAAGCGTCCACTCCTTTTCCACTCAAGACTGTGGGATGTCATCAACCCACTTTAAAGGTGTGCGCCAGGTGCGTTTAGCAAAAAGGGGCGCCAGAAAGCAGGTGACAAACTTGGGGAACAAAAAAACCCCAGCAAAATAATTAGGATGTCTGGATCACTTATTTAGGAAACCCTGACGCAGCTCTGCCCCTGAGGAACCAAAGGCACAGGGCAGATCCTCTGAGCTCTCCCCCAGAACAGAAACAGCCGGGAGGAACTTCTTTATTCACACAGAGAACACATTTTTTCCCAAAGCTCTTGTTTATTTCAGTGGGATGAACCTGGAGGAGTGGGTGGCACCGATCCCAGGCCGGCCGTGCTTCACTGGCTTGTAGGTGATGGAAAACTCCCCCAGGTAGTGACCGATCATCTCGGGCTGGAAAAGAAGCAGAGCTGGGGGTTAAAGGTGGTGCCAACGAGCAGCAGAGCTGAACACATCTCACAACCACCTGCAGTGCATCGCTGTAACCCACGCTGGCTGAAGCCCCACGTGTAGTTTTTCTGCCTGCAGCACTGGGATGGGGAACAGGCTGCAACTGCGGCATGGCTGCTGCCCCAGCACCTCCCACAGCAGCCAGGGATGGACAGCTGCTGGCTGCAGGTGAAACCGACCGGGACTCAGAGCTCACTCTGCCCCCAGCACACACTGCAGGATCTGCTCAGTGTGTTTTCAGGTCGCCTTTAACACTGCAAACAAAACCCTCAGAGAAAACGTCACTGAATCCAGGCGGTGGGATCGGGTGGCACCACGTTATTCCACTCCTAGAAACTGCTCAGATTTGTCGCGCCCCCCCCCC